GGTTAGTTTGCCAAGGACACAAAAGTCCTTGAGAAGACAAAAATGTGGAAAGTTGAGCTAGATTACAGGGAGGAAGATGATGGTTTCAGGCAGCTTGCCTCAGGGATAATGGTTGTCCTTCATGGCAGTGTCCTATAAAACATCTGCAACCACGGACTGAAATCCAGGTGAGGACCCAGGACATATCCTAGAATCTTTCATTCATTGTGGGGAAAAAAAAAATTAGTCTCGAGGGAAGCCAGCAGAGGAGCCAAGGCCTAACCATGGGGGAATAGCTACCATTCAGCTAAGATGATAATATTTTAGATAAGATTGAAGAAGATTCTAATTGTAGCTACTTGACAGGAATGCCAGTGCTTCTAAAGCTTTTAGCGTTAGATAAGAGAGAGTAGCACACCGACATTGTGCATCTGGAACAGATTCAGGTTCACTATGCATAGTGAGGCATTATCCATATTACTTCAGGAATGTTAGATATTTTAAAATTAGAGACAGGCTATCTGATCTAATATCTACCAGTTGAGATTATTTCAATTGCATTTAATTGTGTCTTCATTGATTTCTTATTTCTTCCTTCTAGAGCTAACTTATCTCGTTTTATTTCAGACTGCTGGTTTAAATTACCTTCATTAGAAATTTTGAAGAAATACCGTCTTCTTTTATTGCTTTATGGATAAAATAGTACCAGAGAGATAACCAAGGATGGACACTTAAAAAGCAGTTTAAGGAGAAAATTCTAGTACTTGACAGAAGTAATGTGTAGACTGGGGGATTCTAATTTAGGTTCTCATGAACATGGGGTAGGAATCTTGTCACCAGACGTTCTGCCAGTAATACGGTTAGGTATGAGCCATTTTTCCTCATTAAATTAGAGATGGCATCCCCTCCTGTCTCTAATAGTGGGTATAACATGGTCTCAAGGAAATTTAAACAAACCAGTTATGTTGAATGGCAATAAATGAATTGAGCAGATTGTAAAATTAGTTGTAATGGCATGTACCACTGAATTTCAAAGTTAAAAAAATGTAATCTGGAAGATGCAATGGATTTGAAAAGAAACTTGATCATCAACAAGGATATGCTTCAGGGTAGATTAAAAGTAAATATGTAAGGCCATTCCTGAGGAAAGCATCACGAATGCATCAATGCATTTATGAAGGATTCATAGCATAGCCCATGCTTCCAAGAGCATCTGAATCACCTCCCAATTCACATGGCCAGTCTACTGTCCAAATCTACTTGCATGGTGCTTGAGTATCCCCTTCATGAGTTACTGCTGTTCATGGGTATCCCAGAATCCCTTCCTGACAAGAGTATTACCTTCAGGAGAATTCTGTGGTTCTCAAATCAATCAGTGGCCTGAAAGAGATAGAATATATTGCAAGATTACATGGACTCCTTCTAGCTTGTTTAGCCCACTTTCACATCATCCTTGTACAGGAATTTTTCATTGCAGTTTAGATTAGGTCCAGGTCCAAGTAACAGAAATCCAAAAACCATTGGCTTAAACAGGATAGACCTTTATTTCTCTTCATCTAAAAACCCAGAAGCAGTCAGTCCTTGGTTGTGGGGCAGGTCAGGTCATCTCTTCCATTAAGTCTGCGGTAAGCCAGCTTCCCTCAAGCTTGTGAGCTATCATCCTTAAGCAGGAGACCCAATAGTAGCTTTCTCATTCTACACAGCAGGATAGAATAAAGAACCAAAAAGAAAAGCAAATGCCTGTGCCAGCTACCTCACAATACCCTTGCTTCTATGCCAGTGGCAAGAACTTAAATAGCTGCGAAAGACTGAGAAATGTATGCCTTTGGGGCAAATAACCTATTATAGGGATGAAGGGAAGAATAAAGATCAGGAGAAATTTTATAACCATGACTTTCTTTTCCTTTACAGTGGCACCATGGTATTTACAGGTAGAGTTTGATAATTGCCTAGGAAGGCACCCGAAGCAGAGTGGTAGACAGCAATGCAGCAGTTAAGAGCCTAGACCCAGAAATCCTGCTACCTTATGTTTAAATCTAGACTGTTCTAAGATACCAAGGGGAAATGGTATTAGTGGCCTCGTCTTTGAATTGTTGTGATGATTAAATATTGAATATAAAACATGGAGCATGGCATTTAACACTTCAGAACCACTTGAGAACCGTTCACTTTTATTATTTAAAAGTAAAACATTTCTTAGGGTCAAGTTTTTGCATAGAACTTTCCCATACATTCTCAAAATTGGAGGATGTACTTACTTTTCCAGATATGCTAAGACTTGGAATAATTTACATTTTCTTTGTGGAAATAAGCTTGCATGTGCATGCTTGGTTGGGGGTAGTGCCTAACAAATGTGTGAGTGACTTTCCTATGGGCTTTTGTTTACTCTCTAGACTCTTACTTCTTAATATCAGTTTTGATGTGAAGCATATTTTCCATTAAGAATTTACAGGCTCCCCCTTTCCACTGGTGTAACAAAGTGGGAATTGTGCGTCACATGAAAAGAAGGCCATTCTCAGATGGAAGGGGTTCAGAGATGGCACCGTGGAGTGGGTATGCTGTGTTCACCTGGAGAGGGATAGACGGCTCTAAATTTCAGACCTTACATCAATAAAAATGTAAAAATCTGGCTTGTCCTATATTTAGAAATGGTGATAGGAGAAAAGTGGGTGAAAGCCAAGCTTGATATTCCAACTTTGATGTGACCATTTTCTTGTGATTATAGACAACAAAATAGCTGTGTTGAGATAATTTTTTGCCATTACCTAAATGCTCTTTTGCTTCTCTCTTTTTCTTTCTTTCTCTAAGCCCCTTCTTTGTTCTGTGGGTTTTCTTTTGTAACTCCTCCAGACTACAGCTTTGTTCCCCCTTCTTCCACTCCTTTCTGGTCAGGTACTGCTTTACTGCTTTTATATGTCTTTTCAACTTGCTTCTGTTTGCAAATAAAATATTTTGACTTTTATGTATGGCTTCTCGTATAGATGCGTCTTCTCACAAATAGTCCCTAGAGTCACATTTCCACTATGTAGTTTCCTCTTCTCTGTCATAAAGCCATTGTTTGTCATGTCATTTCACTCCTCTGGTTTTGTGTGTGTGCCCATGTTCTGTGTTTCTGTCAGACATTTTTTATTTTATCTGTTGGGGAAAGGTTGAGGGCTGAAAGGATAAAAGTAGGGGATGAACCACTTATTAGGACCATTAGTTTTCCTGAGGATCAGAAATTTTAGTTAAGGAAAGTCAATGTTCATATAGTACCATTGAGATAATAAACAGAACCCAAACCCCAACTCTGTCTCCGGAGAGTAAAGTTCGCGTTGTTCGACAGAATGACTGTGCCCATCAGTTTATGTACAGGCATTTGGCTCTTGATTTCTGTCATTAGCCTGAGAATTTAACGGCTGTTTATGTGACATGTAGGGGAGTACTTTATGGCTAGGTCAAGTTTGTTTTCTTACAGATTTTTAAAAATTAACCTGTAAGTCTCAGTGAAATCATAACCTTTAGTACTAGAAGGACCTTAGGCGTCAGCTGCAGAGACCTTTCATTTTATAGGTGAGAAAAGTGTGGCCTCAAGGGTTAAGAGACCTGTGCAAGGTCGCACAGTTACGTGGATGATTGGTTTCTCCATCACGGGAGTGTGTTTATGTGCACCAACGCTAAGAGTAGCGCCCCAGTAATGGGTTGGTTCTCAGTAAGAAAACTATTTAAGTGGTTTGTGTCCGAGTAGTAAAAGAAAATGACCTATTTTTACTCCCTTTACACTTGTGAAATCTACAGCATTGCTATCCACTTATCTTACGATAGACTCCTGGAGACTAAAAAAATTTCTGTCATTGCAGAGCCCTGAGTAATAGGCTGGAGATCCGTGTCTCCAAGTGGGCAGGTCCCTCCAGGGTCACGCCGGCCGTAGCCACGGCGCCTGGGCACTGGGAACTGTCACAAGTACAGATGTATGGCAGTTCCCGTCTGATGCTTTTTCTTAAACTTAACGTTCCGCTACCATTTAAGGTTTATAAAGTCCCACCATTCCCAGGTGAGTGATTCTCAGAATCACTGCACATATAATTGAAAACACTTTATAACCCCAAGGAGCAACAGGTGGAGAAGTTAGGATGAAATGTGTTACAAAACACTAGAGAAGAACAAATGTACAGCTTGAAGAGACTTTTTCTTTCGGGGCAGGCGAGTTAGGACGGGAAATAAGTTAGCTCTTCTCTTGCCATTAAACAAATTTGAATATAGAAAACGAACACCCTGACGTCTTGTTCTTGAGTACATTCCTTCAGCAGAGTTTTCTATACCTGCAGTATTTATTTGAAAGAAAGAGAACAAATTGATGGTGTTTGTGTCCTTCCAGTGAAACTTGATTTAAGCTGCTTCACATAGTGAAAGTCTATGTAAAACAACAACTGAGTTGGTCCCCAAATAGTTTTAACTAAAAAAAAAAAAAAAAAAAAAAAAAAAAACAACAACAACAAAAAGCCTTTTTGGGGGGAGGAAGAGCCATTTAACTAGAAGTAGTGACATGGATTCCACAGCAGAATTTCAGAGGAAAGCATTTGTTTGTTTTGAGTCTTAGTTGAAGAAATTATGAGGTACAAAATGTAAAGCTCTTACCTTAGAGGTTCTTGTTAGAATTGGAGTATTGAGGAGACATCAATAGGAAATTAATGCTAGGTATTTTAGCTTCTGTCTCCTTGGATAGTAACTTAGATGCTTAGATACTAATTTTTTTTCTTTTTTCCTTTTTTTTTTTTTTTTAACGAAAACTAGTCCCTGTTTGGAGGTGCTTGTGAAGAATGAAACCGAACAATGGTTCTTTAAATGTTATGCAGTGAACCTGACCACACCCGATTGAATTGAAACAGCAGTTGTGCTGCTTTCAAGCTCCTCTGCCATTATCACTAGTCTGTAGTGAAATCATGGCTGTGCGTTTTGATAGCATCTAGAACATTCATCAGATTAGGCGCTGATGGTTGCTAAAGGAGAAGCAGTTCTGACCCCCCATCCTTCCTTCACAGTGCTAAGTCCGAAAGTGCTGGGCATCGCCATCGCTCGGTATGACTTCTGTGCCAGAGACATGCGAGAATTGTCCTTGCTCAAGGGAGACGTGGTGAAGATTTACACGAAGATGAGTGCGAACGGCTGGTGGAGGGGAGAGGTCAATGGCAGGGTGAGTCATTGGCACCCGAGGGGCGGGGGGGCTGGGCAGTCGCTGGCACCCCCCGTGGGCCTGGGGACCAGCCTGTGCCCCGCGGAGCCGGCCCTGGAGCGGCCGTCCTCGCTGAAAACAGGCACTTGAGAAAAGGAGGTTGAACGAATGGGATCGGGGCATAAACGAAGTTCACCTGGGCCGGTTAGAGGGCTTCCCGCCCCGCGGAGGACGGCGGGCCCTTCCCATTCTGTGTAGTCCCGAGGCCTCAGCGCACCTGCGGCGACTGCAAGGCGTCTGTGGGCGCAGCGACCGCAGGTGGGGGGATCGGGCCTTGCCCCCGTGTCCTGGGGCGTCTGTGGGCGCAGCGACCACAGGTGGGGGGATTGGCCGCCCCCCGTGTCCGGTCCGTGGCAGAGGCGGGCGCTCGGGGTAGCGCCCCGGTAGCTTCCTGGGCAGCGGCTGTGCGCGAGGTTAGAGGAGGGGGGAGGCTCCGCTGGGTCCCGTGGCCGTGGCAGGTGCCGGGGTCGCCCTCGCGCCTCGCCCCGCGGCCGCAGCCGTGCCCTGTGCTAGAGAACCAGGCGCTCGGGGCGCGGGGCCCTTTGGGATGCGGGGCCAGGTGTGTTGCTAGGCTGGCTGCTCTTCTCTTCCAGGTGGGCTGGTTTCCGTCCACGTACGTGGAGGAGGACGAGTGACCGGCGCCCCAACCCTCGAGGCACCTGCGCCCCCCGCGCCCCCGGCCTCGGTGGGGTGTCTGCAGGCTCGTGGGCAGCGGGCGGCTTGCCTGCAGGTGGCCCGGTGCCCCGAAAGCGCCTCGACCTGACAGTCCTGCCGAGGCCGCACCCCGTGGAGCCTGCCTTGCTAAATGCTGAACCCGGATTTCCTTTCTTCTCATGTGCCATTCGCCAGAATGTTCGATGGTACAAAGAAGCAGAAATTTAATTTTGCTCTTCCCAGCATGAGGAAAAATTCGAGTTTGGCCATGTGGGCGGCTTCCGGGAAGGGTCCAGCACTGCTTGTCCTCAGTGGCCTCACAGGGTGACTCACTGGCTGGCAGACGCGCCTGCCCGTAGATGCTACTCACGATAAACTAGAAGAGACAAATGCTCAGGTTTGCTTCATTAGGGATCTATCCCAGAGGGGTTTTAATTATTCATTTGATGTTCTGATTATATTTGCAAACTTCTTTATAAAAAAAAAGTACATAAAAGCGAGTGTCTTCATATTAAATTTTCACAGCCTTCCTGATTTTGTAGAGGCCTTGTGGACATGGGTACTTCGTGAAGGAATCTGCGCTGGGTGTGTCCTGGGTCGTTCAGGGAACCTGGGTACCTGACATTTTCACAGAAGCAGATCAAGGGCTACGATGGATAGTCATCTTATAGAAGCGACATCTCTAAACATAGAGGCCTTCCCGCCCCCACCCCCACCCCCCAAAAAGCCCCGGTACATATTTGCCGAATCTCACATTTTCCTGGACTATTTACAGTAGCACAGATAACTCAGCTGAGGATCTTGTAAGGGAAGCACGGCTGGGTCCTTTATGCATTTCTGGGACAGGAGGATCCCTGACCTTTTCTGGTCACATTCTCTGCGGCCTCCCAGCTTCTCACTAGGACCTTGCCATCTGTAGGTGCTTTTGGGGTGCTTGCTAACTGGTAGGAAGATAGGTTGTGGGGTGCATTTATTTGACCAAGCTTTCACTTCTCATATGAGAAGTTTTTTAAGTATGTTTTTCCTGGGATATACAGAGTCCTCAGTCAAGACAGTCAAGTTAAGACACTAACTTGGCCCTTTCCTGATGAAATATTTTCTCCAGAGCAGAAGTCTTGTTCTGACACGATTCAGAGAGCGTTTTATGTTTGAAGATGACAAAACAAAAACATTAGGAGCATTAACTTAATAGAGCCAAACTAGGAACATTCGATTCTGAAATTTGAGATCATCTCTGAAGTGAGGCGGTGTGCCTGCCATCTCCCCAACCCACTGTCAGGCCACAGTTGGATGGTCAGTAGACACCTGCCTCTCTGGGGACCCTCGTGAGCTAGGACTTCTCAAAAGATAGATTCAGGACCTTTACCTCAGAATTATGTAAACTGTGATTGTGTTTTAGAAAAATTACTGTTTGCTAAAACCAGTTAAGTTTTTGTATATGTGTAAATGATCACAAAAATGAATTTTATAAAATGTTCTGTACAGTGAAGTTGTACCCTCGGGGTGTACTCTTGGAGTGGATTCTTTCCTATGAAGTCTTATCTGCAGTCTGTGTCTCGGGAATGTTGTGTCTGTTACCGCCAGCCAAGTGTCGTTACGGAGGAAGTCACGTCCCACAAATCGGAACACTCCTGTGTACAATACTGTAGCTTGTATTGTTTCTTTTATTGTTATTTTAGCCAATAGAGCCCCTCCCTTACAAATGGTGTTTGGTCTTCTTGTTGCATTTCATGGACCTGAGGGTTCCCCAGCAGAGGACATTAGAGCCCCTTTTCATGACCTTACCGATTACATCTTTGTCTATGTTTAATACTTTGTATTGGAAATTTTAAATGCGGATTTGTGTAGATTTCTAATACCAAAGACAGAAGTAAATGTTTTTTCCATATGCTTTGTCTTGCCTGTATGCAGCCGTTGTGTAATACGGTGATTTAGTGTATTTCACTTTGTAATATTTTGTAAATATGTCAATACAATAAAATAGTTACTACTTGCATTAAATTGATTTCTTGAGAGTTGAGGAGTCTTTCCATGAACACTTCCATAATTCAACATATACCAACCTCATAATAAACATGGGACTAGAATCCCTGATTTAGTTAGATTTAGCTCAGGATTGCTGCTTCAGTTATGGATGGTGACCTATAAGATATGCTCAGTGGTTGCTGATAATATCCACTGACATGTTTACTGTGCGTCTCACCCTGTTCTAAAAGCTTCCTGTGGACTAAGTTAAAACCACTCTAGAAGGTAGAGCCCTGTATTATCTCCGTAATGCAGTGATCTGGGTTGCAGCTCAGCCCAGGTCACACAGCGGGGAAGTGCCAGGACTGGGGTTCTGACATGGGCAGTCTGGCTTCAGAGCCTACGAATAGCCACCACCACCTTGTAGTGCCACACTTTCTGCGGCAAAAGAGAGATTAGATGTATTTCTACATAGCCAAGAAGGAGCTGGTTGATGCAAAATAGTGGTTCAAACAATTGAAGATGAACACAATTTGAGAATATTTGCCTCTTCTTGCCTCACAGAGGAAAACCTCAAACATCCTAGAGAGACTGTATCAGAGATTGAACTTTTTTTTGTCTTGATTAAAACTTGGACAGAAAATGACCGCTAAACCAGAAAGACCAGGAGGCAAGTTTCCTTTGGCAGAGCAGGCCTGAAGATTGTCCACAGTGGTGGGGGGAGCCTGGCTCGTGAGAGGGTTGGGAGCCTGGTGCCTCTAAGGGCCGGGAAAGCCTTATTCCACAGGAGTACACAGTAGTGGTTTCTGTGTGACGTCACCGGCACGACTGCGTTCAGAAGTACAAAATCCCCCTGAGATGGTGCAGTGGGTTATTCAGTCCTACTCCCTTTTCTCAAAGAGCCTAAGACTTTGGTGTCTCTGTTTTATTCCTTCTCTTTGACATTTAACATTTATGTGACTTTTAGACCTCCTATCAAATCATCACTATCCTCACCACCACTGAGGATTCCTGCTTTGTTATTAGTTAACATGGGAACATATGCTTTATAACATTCCTATATAGTTTGTTTTCCATCTGGTAATTGAAGTAAACTATGTGGATAATTAGTCTCTGGGTCGGACAGCAGTATAGAGGAGTGGTAAGACCTTGGCCTCAGACATCAGACTGCACACCTGGGTCCGCATCCCATCCAAGCTACACAAGGCCTCAGCCAATCAGTATTACAAAGGCCCCTGGTTCATAGGATGGTTGTGAGACTCAACTGAGATTGTCCCTACACAGTGACAGTGTGCCTGACTTATCGTGAACCATTTTTGTCATCATCATCACCATCATCATCATCATCACTGTTGTTGTTAGATGGATTTGCTGGTGAATTTGGGTAGTTGCCATTTTAATCTTTGAATTCCTTTGACATAATTCAGGCTCGTATTACATTAAGGAGTGGAACTCCGCAGATCTTAAATTAGTCTCTCTAGGAAGGAAATTCAGCCATTTGATGGCACAGGAAGAGTGAGTTTTAGCAGCCATCAGATCTGGGTTCAAATCCCAGCTCTGCCATTGACTTTTGTGAAATAAATTTTCTATAATAAAGGGATAATTGTAAGTGTCTGAGGGGCTGTATGAAGGATAAACCATAACATGAAAAAGACACCCAGCAAGGAGCCTGGCACATGGTGGGTGCTCAAGAAGTGTTGATCTCCTTTCCTTTGTGAGCTATAAAATACTCCAGAATCAGACTATAAACTTGAAGCTCTTATTTTGAATACTAGAGCTAATGATTTGTTTCTTAGACATGGTTTAATTTTGAGCATTCACATTATAGGTGTGCGTTCAGGAATAGTAATGTGCAAACTCACAAACAATCTCGAGTTTAACAGCTCCACGTTATTTTCACTAGGAAAATGGAATTTTCACCCAGCTCATAATCATTTAGATTCAGTCCATTAGTCACTTCATTTTTCACTGAAACTAGTCTTCTGGGATTGGGTGGACTCTGATTAGGAACATTCTGTACTCGCATCTGGCAGACTTTGGAAGGCACCGTTTGTAAGTAATGGACAAGTCCCAGAGAGAAGGTAAAAAAAGGGATCCTGTCCCTACTTCGATGCCATCAATTAGGCAGGCGTGGGGAAATAGTGATAGAAGACATACAGAAATTTTAGTCTTCTAGACTCTGGTTCTGTCCGAAAGTTCCAGAGTTTCTAGGCACGATGCAGCTAATAACACAGACGTTGAGAGGCCTCAGTGCAGAAGCAGAACATCCACGGAAGCCTCCTCGTGCCCTGTGCTTTCACAGAGCCCAGGTCCGTGATGAGCCCTGAGCTGGAGGAAGGTGAACTCCAGAATGACTGATGTGCCACCCCGTCATCTGCTGGCACAGCCTGGGCAAGGCGCACAAGCTCTCCGCCTCGGAAAATGAAGAGGTTAACCGGTTGAATTCTGTTCCATTTTAGCTTTATAGTTGTGTGAAACTCTGTTGTTTTGTTTTGTTTTGTTTTGTTTCATGGTTCAGAATAAAGAAATTCAAAGACTTCATCAAAATGTTCAGGTTATAAAATATACCAACACTAACCATGCAAGTCAAAAAAATCCGGTTGTATTGTCGAGGAATTGCATTACCGTTTGGTGGCGGGACGTGGCCCGGGGCAGCTCCGTGGGTGGGCCTTACCCGGGTGCCAGGGCCTCCCCGGGGAATGGGTGGGCTCCGTCCGTGTGGATGCCGACTCCCGAGCCTCAGAAACCACAGCCGCTCGTGGTGGCCGCGACGGGCCCTGCCAGGCCGGTGACACGACGCCACCTCCCCCTCCGGAGTGGCCCCAGCACCTGGGCCAGAGCAGCAGTCGGTCGCAGTGGCCGCGGTGACAGGCCTGCAGTGGCCGCGGTCCATGGGGCCTCCCCCGCCAGCCTCCATGCCAGCAGCACCCTCCCTCCGTGTGCAGCCCGCCAGGTCCTCACGGACCCGAGCCCGGCAGGTTGGGGGCAGCAGCTGGAGAGCAGGTGCGCAGGCCTGTGCTCTGTGCGTGGCGGACACGAGGGGACCGAGGTGGGCAGGGCCAGACGGATGGAAGCCACAGACGGAGCCTCACGCCAAGGCTCCACCCCGAGTGTCCTGGGCCCAAGGCATTTATTTAAACTCCCTTTACTCTCATCTGTGATAGAGCATTGCGTGGGAGCCTCCAAGTTTTCAATTTCTACAATTGCTAGGGCCTGTCTTCTGGAATCGTCCAGGGAGCCGCTCTGCGCTCTGGGCAGCTGCTGAGATGCCAGGTCAGGTGGGAATGTGGCGGGGTCACAACCCTTGCACCTCCTGCTGTCCGCGTGTACGGTCGTGATTGAAATGTGTCAAATTTTTTTTTAAGATTTTATTTTTAAACAATTTATACACCCACTGTGAGGTTCGAACCCCCAACCCCAAGATCAAGATTGGCGTGCTCCACTGGCTGAGCCAGCCAGGCGCCCCTGAAACGTGTCACTCTGATAATGACCCAAGAGTGATCAGAGAATGTTTTTGAGTTTTCCAGTGATTTGAATGGTCTCTCCTCAGAAAGGAAAGGGTTTTTGTTGTTGTTTTGATTTGTTTTCAGGGATAATTTAAGATCTGTCTTCTTTTCCCATTTGGATACTCTATTTGCACTCCTATGTGTAGGCTGTATCCTAGGCGTTTAGCATATATGATCTAATTTTTCTCATTTAACCCTTCTAAGACTTCGTCAAACACTGGGACTATCCCGTCTTAATCATGAGAGCTCTAGCCCGGCTGAGCGAGGCTTCGACATGAGGCTGCTTATTAACACCTCGCCCTGCTTTACTGTTGTATTTAACCTTTTTGTCTAAGAAGCAATAGGGACTCCTGAGGCCTTAGAACCAGACCATCTGGCTCTGCCACGTCGTAGCCTCCTGATGTTGGGCAAGAAGCTTATGCTACTTGTTTCTCTATCATTAAGAATGGGGTGACAATAGCGTCGTATTTCAAAGGGTTTTTTATGAGGGTAAATGAAATAATATGTATAAATAAGACAGTAAATTTGCATCTAGGCCACCATTCTTAATTAAATTTTTAATGTAACATATAAAAATAAATGTTACAGATTTTAAAAGCTAACTCAGACATGAAAAACCAAACTTCTTTTGTATGTATATTGGCCTTTGGAAGAAGCATCTTGAGTTAATTTCTCACATTAGTTATGCTCTAAGAATGATGTGTCAGGAGCCCAAATTGAACATGGTACATGGGGTATTAGTTACCTACTGCTACGTAACTATTCCAACAAGTAGCAGCCAAGGACAACAGACCTTTATTTTCCTATGTTTTCTGTGGGTCAGGAAGCAGCATAGATTCGTCGGGTATTTCTGGCTCAGGATCTCCCGTGAGGCTTCTATCAAGGTGCCAGTTGCAGTCATCTCATGGTTCTACTGGGAGAGAATCTGCTTCTAAGCTGGCTCATGGGGGCCTCTCCACATGGCTGCCTCACAACAGGCAGCTGGCTTCTCCCAGAATGAGCCAGCCAAAAGTGGGAGACCAAGAGCACTTGAGGTGAAACTCATCTCTCTACAACTTAATCTCAGAAATGACAGCCCATCACTTATGTTCTACTCTGTTCTTTAGAACTGAGTTACTAGGGGATTCCTGGGTGGCTCAGCGGTTTGGTGCCTGCGTTTGGCCCAGGGCATGATCCTGGGGTCCCAGGATAGAGTCCTGTGTCGGGCTCCTGGCATGGAGCCTGCCTCTCCCTCTGCCTGTGTCTGCCTCTATCTCTCTATGTTTATTATAAATAAATAAATAAATAAATAAATAAATAAATAAATAAATAAATAAATAATCTTTTTAAAAAGTGAGTTACTAAATCCAGTTTACACTCAAGGGGAGGGGATTGCACAAGGCATAAATACCAGGATGAAGGGATCATTGGGGCCATCCTAGTCGCTGCTTACCAGAGTTGGGTAAATTGGGAGATTATTTAAGCCAAGTATACAGTTTGTCTAAAGGGCCCGGGTTAGTGTAGAGAACATTGACTAAAATTGTGGAGTTTTTTT